GTTAATTTGCATATGCAGGCACCGAGTGGCCAGGGGCAGGTTGTTCTACACGACCCCAGCTGCTCCGGGCCTCTGGGCAGCATGGGAAGGTGGAAAGGTGGCTCTGGCCAGAGTGAAGGCAGTGCTGGCATCCAGGGAAAAGAAGGACCATTCTTATACGAATCTTTATACATCGGGCTTCTAGTATTTATGATAAAAAATGAGAGCATAATAAAAGATGTCTATTTGAAATATGAAACTATAGTGTCTAAAACACCTCAGCCTGAATTAGGAAAGAGGGTTCAGGTAGAAGGAGATGTGGGGGCTTCTCTGGAATGGGAAGTCCCCCCACTTTTTCACTTCCATCCATCTTATTCTCATTCCAGAGCATGCTGTCCTTTCTTTGCTCCTTCACCCCTTCCGTGAATCACTGGTTCTCCCTCAGGCTCTCTCAGATCCCACTGCATCCACAGAGCATCCTGGGTGCTGGCCTCCCCTCCCCCTCTGAGGGCAACCTCTGTGTCACCATAGCCCTGTCTGTCTCTGCTTATACCATTTCCTACCAGGACTGCTCCCTCCTAGAAGCCGCAGTGGGTCAGAGATGGACCCCTACCACCTCAGGCTGAATGCATGATAGGTATCCAGCGTGTGCGAGTGGAATCGCAGCTGACAGAATGAGAGGCTGAGTCACTAGGCGGGCTGAGCCCACTGCTTGCCACCCCTGGACCCACCAGGATATTGGTTTTGCTGACTGGAAGCTTCTTCTGCCATCTTATTGAATAAACATGTATTCGTTACACGAATCTCCCCAATGAAAAATAACTCCTTTGGGCCTAATAGGAGGGGGAGGGGGAGGGGACATAGGACATGAGCTCACAGATCTCGAATTGGCATTTTAACTGGGCCATGTCACTTTCCTCATGTGTACAATGGAAAGATTAGTAATAAAAACACCCGCCTGCCTTCTTCCCCGAGTGTCTGTGAGGAAGAGTAAATGTCTGTGAAGAGCACTTTGTACAAGTTGTCGGCATAAATGACTGCGAAGCAAGGTCCCCTGTGCTGGGATGTGACACTCCTTAAGCCAGTGTTTCCCAAACTTCTCTCAGGATGAGAATCACCTGGTGGAGTTGTTAAAATACAGATTCCTGAATCCCAACTAAGAAGTGCTAACCTAGAATTTTTGGGAACATATAGGTAAAAGAGTATGCTTAACTAGTGCTCTAAGGCTTAAAAATAAAAATGTTGCCAATAGTTAGAAAACTGATTTAGGAACTAACAGAATAAAGGCTGGTAGAAAAATCTCTGTGTAAAATGATGGTCTTCTTGGCGTGAGAAGCAGGCTGAGGCCCTTAGGGACGGGTACCGTGGAAGTCTGAAGGTGCATGGCAACCAGTTTTACCAGCAGAGAGGATGCAGGGCAGTTGGGACATGAAGCCTGGGGCTGTATTTGTAGAGGCCTCACCTGTGTATTAGTGGAGCTGTTGAGGACTTTTGAGCAAAACAGTGAGGTGTCGTGAGCTCTGAGCAAGGTTAATATGGCAGGTCGTGTAGAATCGGGGAGGGAGATGTTGGAGACAGAGTCCCTGTGAGCAGGTGACATAGTAACCAAGCGGGGTGTGGACTGGGCCATGGCAACAGGGAGAAGACAGATTTAGACCTACTATTCGAGGGGAACACTGGAGGGGACTAGTCAGGGGAGGAGAACAGGAGAGGGAGCAGCCCCATGACACCAAGGCTGGGTCATCTGTTGTCTCAGCCCCCTGCCCCCTACCCCTCATCATACATGGCGCTGGACTCTCCTAGAAACAGGTGTCATGGCAACATCACATGGTTGCTGGAAGATGTTAACGGATATATGCATGGAATGAATGAGTGACTGAAACGTACGCAGCACCTTCAGCAAAACCTCTCAGTGAAAGCTTGGGCTTCTTGTGAATGAGGGAGCTTCATTTTGAACAGCACGGTCCCCGGGGCCTTCCCACGATCCAGGATGGGCATGTCTCTGGGAATTTCCAGCTGCCCCACTCCCATCTGAGGACATGAGGCTTTGCCTTGGCTCTTCCCATCTGAGGACATGAGGACACAAGAGCAGCCTGAATCCCAACCTGCTCCTCACTGACAGCCATCATGGCCCGATTTGTGGAGCATGTACTCTGTGCCAAGCCCTACGAGGGTGCAAGGGCATGAGGGCGTGATGACCATTTGCATATTAGCTCTTTATTTTATAGAACTAGAGGCTCGGTGCACAGAATTCATGCATGGAGGGGGGGGTGTCCCTCAGCCCAGCCTGGGTGTGATGTATATCAACTCATTTAATTTCACATCATCTTTATGGCAATCCTTTAGAAGACTTAGAATTCCCACTTATCAGCAGTAAAAACTGGAACACAAAGTAGTTCAGTAACTTGTCCCAGGCCACACAACAGGTGTGAGGAACCCACGTCACTACGCTATGAACAACCCGAGGGTGAAATTGCATTGTGTTCACTATGCTGTTCCCCACACCAGCCCACACTGGGCAATCTTCACTGCTTATTGAATGAATGAATGAATGAATGAACGAATGAATGAATGAAACCAGATTTTCAGATTCCAAGGCTCATATGCAATCTGAGTCTTCATTGCCTCCTCTGGAAAAAAAAAAAAAAAAATATGACCCTCATGGTTGTGAGGTTCAAATGGATCTTGGCGATATATTTGGTAAACATAGGAGTACGTAAGCCACCTTCCTTCCAGAATTTTCCAAACCCCAGACCGCAGACAATGCTTGCCGATATCCCTTTGGGAGAGGTTTGGCCTTCAGAGCTCAGCTCCCTTCCCATTAGGGCTTATTTGGGAGTCTGATCTGATACTTAAAACTGGCACCATCACCTGCCACCAGGCAAACAGCAAACCTTCCTTGAGAAGCTGAACAAACTCCTTTTATTTCAGCCGCCCCTGAAACCTGCTCACTCTTCCCAGCTACCACTCCCGTCCCATCTACGCCGCCCAGCCCTCCACCCCTCACCCCACACTCCGCAGCTCTTTGTCAGGAGCTCGGAGGAAGTGAAAGGTTAACTGAAAGGGGGACATCGTTGTTGCCAGACTCAGTCAGCAGTGGGGTTGCGGTCTCGGCCACCGCTGCTAAAGTTTCAACTGCGGCGGCCATACAGAGCAGGCCTTGTTCTTTCATGAAAGTTCTAGTCCCAGTTTTGTTCCAGGGACGTGGAGCCTTCAGCAGGGCCTTTGTGGCCGAAGAATCCCCTGGACAATAGGGCCACCCTCCTCCAAAGTGCTCGCTCCACCCTGGAGGGAAGGCCCGGGCCCACAGGCTGCAGGGCTGCCCGGCTCCTGGGGACGCGGAAAGTTCCAGGAGGGCTCGGGAGAAAGGAAGGGCTCAGGCCTCTGAGGCCAAGTCACAGCCCCAGGGAAGGCTGTCCCCAGCCTCTCTGGTGCTGCCAACATAAGCCACTTGGGGACCAGAGGGGAGATCCAGGCCCAGCTGAACGGTGTCACTCAGCAGCTGGCTTTTTCTGTCTGGTGCAGCTAATAGCCCTTCTTCACCTGGCGTGTGAGACTGTTTCATGGTCAAACACAGAGAGTTCAGCGGGTGAAGGTAAGGGTGGAGACAGGGTGAAGTTTTATGGAGCCAGGTTCTATGGGATGCACTTTAATAATTAATATTTGCCAAAACCGGTTTGGCTCAGTGGATAGAGTGTCGGCCTTTGGACTGAAAGGTCCCAGGTTCGATTCCGGTGAAGGGCATGTACCCTGGTTGTAGGCACATCCCCAGTAGGGGATGTGAAAGTGGCAGCTGATCAATGTTTCTCTCTCATAAGTGTTTCTAACTTTCTATCCCTCTCTCTTCCTCTCTGTTAAAAAAAAAAAAAATCAATAAAATATATTTAAAAAAATTAATATTTATTGAGCACCTACTACGTCCAAGATACTGTGTTAAGCAACTTATAGGTATCATTTCATTCTAAGAGTCTTACCAGGAAGGTAGGATTATTACCATCATCATGTTACGGGGAACAATACTGAGAGGTTCAGAGAGGTTATGTGACTTGCCTAAGTTCCCATATTCTATAACTGTTGAGTAGAATTTATACGTAGGATTTCAATTTGTGTCTGTGCAACACAGAAGCCTATTTTCTTTCTTTATGAAAGTTCTAGTGGTCTTGTCGAAACAGATTTGGTTCAGTGGATAGAGCGTCAGTCTGCGGTCTGAAGGGTCCCAGGTTCGATTCTGGTCAAGGGTATGTACATTGGTTGCAGGCACATCCCCGGAAGAGGGGGTGCAGGAGGCAGCTGATTGATGTTTCTCTCTCATCAATGTTTCTAGCTCTCTATTTCTCTCCCTTCCTCTCTGTAAAAAATCAATAAAATATATATTAAAAAAGTAAAAAATAAAGTACTAGTGGTCTGGTGCATGAAATTTGCGCACATTGAAAAAGAATTATTGTAATTAGCGGAAATATTGTGATATTGCTATTTGCCCTTTTTCTATAACAGAAGTGTCAGAGAGAAAAGAAAATTAGTAAAATGTATATGAAAATCTCCCTCCTGTCATAGTCTGGGGTGCACCGCAGGACCCAGAGTCAAGACCCTACCCACCCACGTGCACCATGAAATTGCACAAGACCTGGATCCAGTTGGCCCCACCCCCATCAAGCCCCACATGTTGGGGGGCACAGCCTTAGGTTCCCCGTCAAGCCCTGCTGGGTGGGGAGCATGTTCTCAGCCCCCCCCCCCCAGCCCCTGCATGAGGGTGCAAGGCATGAGGGCATGATGACCATTTGCATATTAGCTCTTTATTATATAGAACTAGAGGCCTGGTGCACAAAATTCGTGCATGGGGGGTGTGTCCCTCAGCCCAGCCTGCATCCTCTCCAATCCAGGACTGCTGGCTCCCAATTGCTCTTCTGCCTGCCTTCCTGATTGCCCTAAGCACTTTTTTTTAAAAAAATATATTATTATTATTATTATTATTATTATTTAAGACCTTTATTAACAGGTGCTTGCAGTTTGTTGACTTTAAAAAAAAATCAAGCTGTAAACTTTTATTACAAATTAAAAATGAGGTTCTTAAAAATCTCAACTTGACCAGATATGAAACAATTTAAAAACCTTTAAAGGTGTATTGAGAAAAACCAGGCTTTTTTTTCTCTTAAAAAACACGTTTGTCATTACCAAAAAGAACCGTCTTTAGATAAAAATATCAATAATAAAAACCCCATGCTGCATAGATAATGCAGATAGTTCCAGTTGTCTGGTCAACGGGCAAAAAGCAAGCACTTAAGGTCTTCAGCTCCAATCTTTTGTTCATTTCTTATTGCTGGAATTTCGTATTTCTTCTTGTTGGATGACTAAACTGGATGATGGTAAAGATGGTAAGCCGGCACTTTTTACTCAGCCCCCCCCTGCTCAGCCTCGGGAGCAGACGAATTCTCAGCTGGCAGATCGGCTGCTTTTGTCTCTTTGCCATCTTGTGGTTTAGGGTTCTCTGGGTGTCTGCGTAGGTAATTGAAGTTGTGGCGGTACCGACGCGGAGGTGGCTGCTGACCTTGGGTCTCATCTCCTTGATTTTCCTTATCTTCTTCGTTGCCCTCCTCTCTAGGCTGTCTTTGGCGAGGAGGGCCCCTGCGGAATCGTGGCCTATAGCCTCAATACATATTCTGTCTCACTGGTCTGCCTTGTTCTCCTGCACCCTGGTTGTCAGCACCCTCCATCACTTCTCCCTGTACAGGAGGGTTGGAATACTGTGGTCGACGCCCATAGGGTCTCCGCATGTAGTAAGGTGGGAACCGTTGCCTGCGATAGGGCCAGCGCTGTTGGCCCTGGCCTTCGGGGGCACTCTCTGATCCCTCATTCTTTTCCCCACTCTCACTATTCTGGTAATTCTGCTGGTAATTGCATGAAGGACCCCTGCGAGGTGGATAGCGTCTATCATGGTTACGGTCTGCTGCGTATTGACTGCCTTGTACTGGAACTCCACCAGGGCCTGTAACATTTGCTGCCTCCGCACCCTTTTCTCCTTCAACGACATCAAACTCCACCGTCTCTCCATCTCCTGCACTGCGAAGGGACTTCCTGGGGTTATTCTCCTTTATGGCAGTCTGGTGTACAAATACATCTTCCTTGGTGTCATTCCTGTTGATGAGACCATATCCGATCCTTACATTGAACCATTTTACTGTTCCCAAAACCTTCGATGCGATGACCTCCTTGTCCCCGCCGGGGGGCGCCGCCGATCGATGTGAGGCCGCCTGGGCCGCCGCTCCCTGCCCTGGGCTTGGTGTGGGTGGCGGGCGGCTGCTGGGTCTCGGCCTCGCTGCTCATGGTTGCAGTGATGGTGACTGGGGCCGGCTGTGGCAGCTGCGGCTCCTCCCGGGGTGAGATGGTAGCTAGGCCGGCAGCAGCGTTGGGGGTGCTCAGGGCTCTCTGGGTTCCGCTCTCCGCTCCCGCTACCGATTGAACTCTGCCCTAAGCACCTCTGCCTGCCAGCCTGATCACCCCCTAACCACTCCCCTGTCAGCCTGATTGATGCCTAGCTGCTCTCTTGCCAGCCTTTTTGCCCTAACTGCTCTCCCCTGCAGGTCTGGTCACCCCTAACTGCTCTCCCCTGTAGGCCCGGTCACCCCCAACTTTCTTTTTCTGCCAGCCTGGTCACCCCTAACTTTCATCCCCTGAAGGCTTGATCACCCCCCCAACTGCCCTCCCCTGCGGACCTTGTCCCTCCCAGTTGCCCTCCCTTGCTGGTCATCTTGTGGCAGCCATTCTATGTCCACATGGGGGCAACCATTTTGTGTGTTGGAGTGCTGGTCAGTTTGCGTATTACTCTTTTATTAGATAGGATAGAGGCCTAGTGCATGCTTGGAGGTGGGGGCCAGCTGGTTTTCTCTAAAGGGTGTCCCTGATCAGGGTAGGGGTTTCCTTGGGGTGTGGGGTGGCCTGGGCGAGGGGTCTGTGATGGTTTGCAGTCTGGCCACACACCCTGGTGACCCAAGTGAAGGCCCTGGTATCTGGGGTTTATTCATCTTCTATAATTGAAACTTTGTAGCCTTGAGTGAAGGCCTGGGCCCACCAGGGTGCGTGGAAAGCTTAGCTTCCTCCATTGCTGTGGGAACCCATGCCTCCTGCTCTCTCTGTAGCTGCAGCCATCTTAGTTGGGTTAATTTGCATACTCATTCTTGATTGGCTGGTGGGTGTGGCTTATGGGTATGATAGAGAGGTGTTAATTTGCATATTACTCTTTTATTAGATAGGATGTATAGAGGTACTTCATCTTTTCATGTGCTTGTCATACTATATCTTCTTTGGTAAAATGTCTATTAAAATCTCTTGCCTATTTTTAATTGGTTTGTTTTGAGTTCTTATGATTGTGTTTTGAGAATTCTTTATATACTAGAGACCTGGTGCACAATATTTATGCCCAGCCTGTGCCCTCTTGCAGTCTGGGACCCCTTGGGATATCCTGCTGGCCTAGGCCCAATCCCTAAGCCAGCTGTTAGACATCTCTTTCACAGTCCAGGGCTTTCACAGTCCTGACCACCTGACTACAGCAGAGGCAGGAGAAGCTCCCTCCACTGCCAATGCACTTGCCAGCCATGAGCCTGGCTGTGTTGAGCATCTGCCCTCTGGTGGTAAGTTTGAGTCATAGCAACCAGTTGTTCCTCTTTTTGGTTGATCTGCATATTAGGGTTTATTATATAGAATTCTGAATACAAATCCTTTATCAAATTTTTTTTAAATTTTTCTCCCAGCCTGTGTCTTGTCTTTTCATTCTTTTTACAGTATCATTTGTTGTCCAATGTATCAATTTCCTCTTGTATGGATTGTGCTTTAGTTGTTGTATCTAAGAAATATTTGCCTACCTCATGACAATAGTGTTTCTTCTCCCTGATTTATTTTAGAAGTATTATAATTTTTACATTTAGGTCTATGAAATTGTTTCAGTACCATTGGTTGATAAAAACAAACACCTATCCTTTCTTTATGGACTTGTCTTTGCACTTTTGCCCCAAATCAGGCTTCCAAATATGCAAGGGAAGGGTTTATTTCTGTACTCTCTGCTAATATATTTGTCTATTGATCTATTTATCTATCTTTATGCCAGTATCACACAGTCCCAATCATTCCAGCTTGATAATAAGTCTTGAAATCAAGTATTGTTAATCTTGTTCTGGTTTGTTGTTCTTTGCAAAGTTGTTTTGGTTTTCTAGGTCCTTTGCACCACTATATGAATTTTAGAACAAATTTGTCAATTTCTACTAAAAAAAAACCTGCTAGAATATCAATAAAGCTCATATCCTTAGTTACATACTAATCATATTTAAATTTTACCAAAAAATCTTTGAGTTTGGCATTATTCTCACTATTTTACAGATGAAAAAAAACAAGAATCACTGAGGTTACAGAATCTCATTAATGAAAATGAAAATTTAAACTCAAGCCTGTTGTAATTCTTGCTATTACTACACCATAGTGTTTGGAGGAGCCAGCTGGGTCATAAATGGTGTCTCTGTCTTCAGCTGGGATTTCCCAGTGGGACAATTTGGGGTTCAACATTTGAAACCACTATTTGATGTTTACTTGATTGCAAAATAGACCTTCAAAAACATATCCTGGCCCTCTCTTCACCCTCATTTCTTCAGTGACTGGGAAAAACATACACACTCATTTTGCATATAGTACCTTTCCTCTAAGTCTCCTTAACTATCTAAATATATAAAAGGCTAATAGGCAAAGTGTCCCCTTGGGAGTTCGATTGGGAGACTTGGAATTTGATCACTCACTATGATGTGTGCTGACCACCAGGATGGTGGTGTGGGATGAAGGAAGTACCTAGCCAGCAGCAGGAAGGTCCTGATTGGTCATGATTGCTGGCCAGGCCTAGGGACCCTAATTATGCACAAATTTAGTGCACCAGGCCACTAGTTATAATAAGAAATTATTCACTGAATTTGTTTACAAATGATTATTCAATGTCTTAAAAAGCATGTCACTCTCCTGCTCAAGATCATTGACTCCCCAGTGCCACTAAAATTAAGTTGGTTCATGGAGTTATGCACATCCAGAGCAGGAAGACACCTGGAGATCATGAATAGCAGACAGTGGAGAGGCAATGTTCAACCCTCTTGTTTCAGAAGTGAGAGCTGACTGCCAAGGAGGGGGAGCAACTCTGATGCAAGGAGTCTGTAACTCCACTTCTCTTAGGAATTCTGGTTGTGGTTTTGAGCTTTATGGAAGGATTTCTATTGCAATGCCAGCCTAATGTTTTTGCCTCTAAAATGTAAAATACTCAATTTGACATTCAAGTCTCTTCTCCACTGCATCCATTCTCTAGTCTTTCCCATACTCTGCGCAACTTGTGTCCACACCAGCAGGCCCCTTCCTCACCTCTATGTCTTGTCCCTCTGCCAGTGATGACTCCTTTTTCTGTCTGCATCTACTTCTTCCCAAAATACCCTCACTCCCTATTATTTGAGGTTGATCTCAAATGCCACCAATTCCATGAAAATTTCTGATTTCCCTTGATGGCATGCATAGATTCTCTACCCACCACATTGATTTCCCATCATCCTGGGTCTGAGATGAAAAATACACCAGATGGGATTAGCAGCAGATTAGTGACTACAGAAGAGAAGATGAGTGAATTTGATGGCACAGCAAGAGAAACACAAAATAAATGCCAAGTGAAACCCCAAAAGATAAAAAGAGAACAGAAAAAATGAACTGTCCCATCAGCTGAGAAACAGCTCCAAGTGGCCTAATATATGTGTAATTGGGTCACAGAAGGAAAGGAAGGGATGGACAGGAAAATACTGAAGAAATAATTCAATTTAAAAAATAAACCTTAAAATTAATTTTTAACAAACTGCTGAAGCCGGTTTGACTCAGTGGTAGAGTGTCGGTCTGTGGACTGAAAGGTCTCAGGTTCGATTCCTGTCAAGGGCATGTACATTGGTTGTGGGCACATCCCCGGTAGGGGGTGTGCAAGAGGCAGCTGATCGATGTTTCTCTCTCATCGACATTTCTAGCTCTCTATCCCTCTCCCTTCCTCTCTGTAAAAAAAATCAATAAAATATATTTCAAAAAATCCCAAAAAACAAAAAACAAAAACCTACCTATTCACAGATCCAAAAAGGTCAACAAACCCCCGAA